CAAGTGCACTGAGAGGCGTTTCTATTCACCGAGTAAGGTCGCCGTGGTAAATCCGGCCCCCATAGATATTTCAAATACCAGGCGTTCTGTCGAACGGAAGGAAACCGTCGTCGAGACTCGGTTGGAATTTCGCGACGAAATACGAGCCGCTTTCATAATTCGCATTCCCGGTTAAATACCGTGCGATTCCATTCCCTAGGACGACAACGACAACGACAACGACAACGACGAGGACGAGGACGAGGACGAGGACGAGGATGGTGTAACAATTACAAGAAACTTGCACGTGATTTGGCCACCAATAAATTTACGTAAACATACAAGTATACCTATATAATTCTCGTAACACGTATAAATAACGTTCTCTCGATAATTTTAAATATAATTTATAAATAATCTAAAAATGATATTATATGAAATATCAACGAGATTAAAAGATTATCAAATTATATCTAACGACCATGATTTAGAAGCATCAAGGATAACGATGGAGAAAGATGAAAGGATAGAAAGAAAGAAAGAAAGAAAGAGTAAGTGAGAGAATGAGAGAGAGAGAGAGGAAGAACAGGAGCTGGAGAGCCAGAGGCGCCGATCCGATAGTGTGTCGACGATAATCGGTGCGGGCGTGTAACAACCGGCGTGGCTCGCGCCCCACGTCCACGCGTCCACCACAAACATATACACACATACACATATTTATCTATGTATATATATATATATATATATAGAAAGATAGGAAGGAACGCATACAACGAACGGAAGCATCTAAGATCCTATCGTTGAATGGTAGAAGCGCGCGATATGACCGCTGCCTATTGCTACTCGTTTTACCGAGGGGCTCACCTGAGGAGACCTTCTCGATTATCGTTTTACCATTCGAGAAGGGATTTATCTCGATCGGTCGAAACACGACGCCGCCAGTATAACCAACCTCCTTTTTGATAACGATTAACTCACGCCGAATTTCAACCCTTTTTCCAATGCTTTTTACATATTTGCCCTTTTTTTTTTTTTTAAGCTCCATCTGTGCACAACGTTTTTATTTTGTTTTATAATAATAATGGTAATAATAATAATATGTTGCTCGCGAGAATAATGCAATTCCTCTTCCGCTTTAACATTATCTTTGCCCTGTAAATGACCCACGGTGTGTGTTGTCCTACTCTTCCTCTTCTTCCTTTAGAACGTGTGGGTGTATAATGACAGAGCTTGTGCTGTGAACGATTAACTCGTATCTCTAGGGTATTTCTTTAGATTTTCTATGCGTTTGTGAAAGAGAGAATTAGATAGATTATGAGAGAAAGAAAAAGATTCGGTATGATTGGAAAGGTGTATTCGTCGTGTTATTTTTTTTTAAATTCACCTATACCTAATATCTAGAATGATTTTTTCAAATACTTACAATTATGAAATAAAAGTGTATTTAATGCAATAATACGAATGATGTAAGATAATGAATTATGAAAAATAATAGTAGATAACGCTAAATTATCTGTTAAATCATAAACGTGACGTTTTCAAAATGGTTATTTTATGTTAAAATGAAAATTTAAGTTGGGAAATCGCGTTGAATTGTTAGTTATCTCTATGGATCTGGTAGGTAAGCATCGAGCTACGTCATATTCTCTTTGAAAGACAAAAAGATTACGCCGGACCGTTAATACGGTTACGCGTTATCTAGATTGCAAACTCGCTTCGTCGGCTTCCGTCGGTCGAGAAACGGAATGAGTAATTAATCAAAGACAATCAAACTCTGGGAGCCTCGACTTTATCCGACTCCCAACGGAATATAACAGTCCACAGTCTACTCGTTCTGTGTACTCTTCTCCGTTGTGAAACTCGAAAGAAAAATAAAATAAGTAAATATGGATCATTATGAAAAATAATTGAAATCATCTCGCGAGATAATTATCTAGACTTTCGAAAATTTCATTCAAATTGATGTTTTAATCAAACACTGAAAGAAAGAAAGAAAGAAAAAACGAGAACGAGTTAATGGATTTGGTTTGTGTATAGTAGTGCACGATTATAGATGAATGAATAATGAAAAAGAAAAAAAGAAAAAAAAAAGAAAGGAAAACGATAAAACAACAGAACACATTGAAAGAATATAACGCCAGATAGGAAGATTAATTTTCTTCTCTTCGAGTCACAGATTTCGACCGAGAAGTATTAAGTCCTTTAAAAAAAGAACTTCGACAAACTAATCTTCACGAATCTTAATTACATCTGCGATTTATTATAAACACGATTTATTCGTCAGACTTTTCTAAAAGAAACGCAAAACACGTTAAGAACGTGTCTCTTCTCTGTTAATCCGATGAAAGATCGTCATTTTTGTTAGTACGAGGACTTTTAATGGTGACACCAAAAGAAGAAGATTCATTTATCATATATGGTCCTCGTAGACGGTTAGAAAGCTCTTAATTATGACTATTTCATTCCTGAATCGATCTAGACTTTCACGCGTTACTTTAAACAACAAAAAATGTATAATAAAAAAAACTGCTAAATTCGGTTTATCTTTCGCAAGGAATTTTTTCTATATAATATACATATATATATATATAGTATAAACATATTATATAGAAAGCTTATCCGGTCAATCATATCGAAAGGAGGCCACATCGATTTATCTTCGACGATATGTAAAACGAAGATCAAAGTTCCTATGGTTCGTAGGAAGGGCTTTGAAAGAAAAAGAAAAGGAGGTAGAGGTACAAAGAAAGAGAAAGAGAGAGAGAAAGAGATTCAGCTGATTCACCAACGTACATATGTATATACACACATATATGTACATATATACTTATATGGTATCCACACACGATCGGAATTTTCCGATAGCCACCGAGCTGGGATTTATAGACGTTCAGGGAAACGGACTTTAGCCGTTATAAACGGCCGCTTAGAGGACGATAGAAACGGTGCTGAAGTTGGAAGAGGCGGCGGGTTAGAGAGAATCGTCCAGTCGATGTTTAAAGTCGATGTTTAATATCTGCTTGTATTATATCGCCGCAGGAGATCGCTAGCAGTATTTACAGTGAAAACAATAGAACGTCGATAGAGAACGGAGAGGGTGCATCCTCATCCTCATTCTCATCCTCGTCCTCGTCCTCGTCTCGAATCCAATTCGATTCGATTCAACTTCGAACGTTTAGTATCGTGCCGAGATCGAGCTTATGTTAGTTAGACATTCGAGTGAAACTTCGTGTCACCGTACCGTTACGAAAGCGGTTAACATATTTTTTATTAATCCTATCATCTTAATCTTGCAAAATTGAAACACAAATAAATTTCACTAAAGATCGGATTAGTTTTTCCAAATAAGTATTGAAAGAATAAATTGCTTGGATATTTAATTATTAAATATTTCATCAACGAATTCGTATAAACATGCCCAGAAGGAAAAGACCCATATGTCTTCGAATTCCATTTTGCATGGATCCTTGTAGATCATTAATCCACAAATGGATATGAATTGCGGTAGCTACTCGAACGAGAATCTTTTCTCCTTCATTCTCTCTCTCTCTCACTCATTCTTTCTTTCTCCTTCTTCTTTTCTCCGGAGAGAGAGAGAGAGAAAAAAACTTGTAAGTAATAAAAATGAGGCGTGGTTCGTGCTCACGACAGCCGATTTCGCGGTTTAAATTATTAAATGTACCGTACCTGGGTTCGCTCGATCTCCTCTCCGGAGGAGCCACTTTTTTATTCGTTCCACGTCTCGCGCTATTTTATCGGCACGACGACCATGCTTCTTTCGAGTGATATCAGATGTTGTGTTTCTTTTCTGCCTTTTTTTTTGTTTCCTTTTTTTTCCTGTTTTTTTTTTCTTTTCCTTGCCGAACTTCGAATTGCCTCGAGCTATTCGAGTTGAGCCTCGTTTTATGGCCATTTTAAAAGAGACGACAAAAAAATAAGAGCGTTCTCTTATTCGCATTAGGCCCAGAAAGATACAGAGAAATAGAATGGAAGATACTTTGGGTAATTGCGAATCCATTAATCGTTTAAATTCATTTTAGCGTGTCTACGCTCTAAAGACTTTCCATAATTATTTTTGATTTTTTTTTTTTTTGTTCCTTCAGAGTATAATGATTGAATGAACAAATTCCACAAATCCATTAGGATGAAATCTCATAAACGTACGATACAATTGAATAGTTTTAGTTCGTTCGAAAGAAGGGTGCCTAGAATTTCCTACACCATTTACAGTATATTCGATCGTTAAAACCATAATCTTAAGGAAAGAAACAAAAATAACCGAGAATTCTCTCGCGCGATGTTCGAATATGCGAGTCGGAAGGATTTTGCGTGTATCGATCGGTTGACGACGTTTAAAGAGAGTCACCTAAATGGCAAGAAGCAACGAGCTGACTTTTTCTACACCTCGAATGGGAAATCACATGGAGAAGATTAAAAAGCTTTGAAAATAGAAGGTTAAGATATCTCGAAGGTATACACAGGAACATTCTCTGTTCCCTTTCAGTTCGTAGAGGTGAAGGTAAAGCAAATCTTGTATTGAGAGAGAGAGAAGGAGATGGACACTCTCTGATTTTCCATATAATGGACGTTAAAGTGAGAAGGAAAAAGAGAATTAAAAAAATACAACATAATTAACCCATAAAGCAAAGCAATCGGCGCGGATCTCTATGGTTTAGCCATAAGCGAGAATCGAAGGTTGGTTGTAGGCACGTTCGAGGCACGTTCGAGGCGCGGTATTCCGCGTATACACCCGCAGATATGACGCGTGTGTGGATATGCTGTTATGTAAGTATTCAACGCGAATAGGCATGCGAAGGAATAGCCAATAGGGACTTTCTTCGATCGGTATTGAAATGATTCGAATATATCGACTTCTCTCTAACGTGGAATTTCGAAAAGCAAAGTTTTCTTTCTACGTTGCATCAATCCTTCCCGTGGATCATTTTGATTGCTATTTCCAAAAGGTTTTGTTAAAAACAATTGTAAAGCGAATGAAACGTAAAGGTTATCGTCCTACTCACCGGTTGAAGAGACGTAGAGAGATGCTGGTGGTGGTGTAGGCGTTGTCGAAGGTGAAGGTACTCTTCTTGCAGCGGCACTAATTATTACTGCAGGATTATACCGAGGCACCTGCAACACCACGGGAGTTTTCACGGACAGGTCCACTGGTTCCAGCTGCACCGGGGGTCCCGCCGCCTAAAATTATATTGCAATCAATTAATATGACCGTTACGTAATGCTCTTACTTACTACCAAATAATTTTCTCCCTTTATCGATCGCAATGAATAATTTAATCACGTAACATATTAACATAATATACCAAATGTGTACCGTCGTATCCATTTTCTCATCATTTGCATACATTTTTATATCGTCGTTATTACTCATTCTATAAAATATCTTATACATATATACTACATATTCCACTCCTACCTCTTATATTTACAACTAATCGATGAATATGTTGGAAAGTCTTATGAAAAATCCGAAAACGGATACTCACATAAATTTATCCAAGGTAATATTTCAATCTTGTTGCGTACATATCAGACTCTGAGTGAAACTGAACCCCTAAAACCTTTCAAAGGAGCGACCACGGTAAATCGATAGTCGATCGAAGGTTTTACCTTCGGTACCTGGTCTATCTCTATCGTGGAACCGTGAGCTCTCTCGATGCTTGGTAGCCCGAGCGAAGTGCTTTCGCGCAATTAGCATAACTAGCGTCGGAATTGACGTGGACTAATCACGACTAGTTCCCACGAGGTTCAGACCGAGTTCTACCTCTGCCCATACCCTTTCCTATCTACCTTACCCTATTTCGTTCTACCGTGAATCGCTTAATGACCGATCGAATTAATAATCAATGACTAAGAGCGCGATGGAACCAATTTTCATCGCGTTTTTCTTAATCTTCCTTTCAACTTGCCAATTATTTTTCTATTCAGTTGATTTTTATGAAAAAAATATCTATTCCAAGAAAAACGAGGTTTGATAAACAGGCAAACAAAGGTAAATCCTATGCGAGGACATAATGTTTAAAATTCAAGACAGAAGGTGACGTTAAATCATGGCAGTATCGGATTTACAAAACGCTCGGGGACGAGAAGATCGGATTTACGGAGGCTGGCTTCGAACGCGATTGTTCGGAGGTAATGCCCTAACGAAACGTGGGAATGCCGCGGCCATATCCACGAAGGCGAAAAGATCGCATTCTGTCCCTGCAATATACATGTCATAGAACGAAACGAATGGCTCTCTTGTCGCGAAACACGATACGAAACTAATAACGTAACTTCCAACTATCGTGCATGCGTATATATCTACACACGATTAAAGATTAACGAACAATAAGACGTATGTGGAACGTAATTTTACTCGTCTTTTTTAATAAATATCCTTTTTTTTCAATCAATTAAATTTCGAATTTAATTAACACGTTGACTTACAAATAAATTATATATTAATTCGAATAATCGTTTGAAGCATGTCAATGCGTTAAATTTGAAAGTATTTCCGAGTTTTTCTGTGAAAAAAAAAATGAAAATGAGAATCTCGCGATGTTATGTTCGCGGTCCGAATCGCAGATGAGATTCATTGTCCATGTCGGCGGCGAGGTCATAGCTAGTCGGTGTGCCTCCGTTGCAAATCAATTCCGAAAAAGAGACATTCGGCACGCGAGACACGCCCATGTCGACGTTCTCATTTCTAGAAAGTACATACAAACTCGACGAACGAATTTCTTATTCACGAACGTCGCGGAATGAGTAACGATGAGGCTTCTCGTATTTTCGGTTAGACGACAGATGCATTAACGATTCCACTCGCGTAACTCGCTTTCTGCTTGATACCCAGATCGATGACGATTCTAATCGAATCTAATACTATTTCCAGAGATAATTCAATATTCTGTCTCTCTCCCTCTCCCTCTTTCTCTTCATAATATATTTATAAATTTCTTTTAAATACTAATTCTCTCTCTCTCTCTCTCGAGATAGGTTGGATCAATGATTCCCTAACGAAACGATTTATTGAACGATAAGGAAAAGGGGAAGCGCATTTCGATAAATAAAATCAAGCTAGGTATTAAATCCGTGATGACTAATGAAAGAACGGATAAACTGTTCTTAATGGTTCCTGGCTACGAAGTTGCGTGTGTGAGGTGCTCACGTACGATACGTACGTTCTCACAGTAGCGAGTCATAATGAGAATGTAAAGTTCATCAATCATTCGTTGTTAGGCAATCTCCGATTGGACGAGTCCTGTTAGAATTAATTTAATTACTCTGACTGTTTTAACGTAGCATCTATCTACATACATTTATCGATATTACGTGAATCCTTTATCACCTTCACATATATATTTATTTCAAATCAAAGATTTAATCGCGACAAAAAGCGAGGAGAAAAAGAAAATGTAAAAGGAATAACTTTTAATTATGATCATAGCAATCCTCCCACCGATCGATAATTTATGTTTAAACCGTTATCAGGTCAACGCCCTTTTACCATCATCGGTCTCTACGTTACTGGGAACGTTCGATAGGCTGATAGATACGCGTATATCTCGGAACGTTCATACTTTCCGCGCTAGAGTTAATTAGGTTTATTAAATCGCTAATAACGCTTTACATCATATACGATGTTATATACGAAGATAGATAGAGACAGGACGAATGGTCGGGTGGAAAACAGGAGGACGAAGGGGAGAGGGGGGGGGCAGGAGAGAAAAGCGATTGCATCATTAATGACGCGTAATCAATTTAATATATGCGTGTCCTTTTAATTTCCTTTACGTGAAATGAAAAACTTGAAAGAAATTAATTGCTACGTGGTATCTTAGAGATAAACTTTAGAAAAATAATTTCAATATTTTCTAAATTATATATGTTTCATAATATTTTAACAAAATAATTATTAATTACATGACATTTATAAATAGAAAAACAAAATGGGTGTGGACAAATTATCTGGTAAATCGAAGAAAACTAACGAGTTGTAGATCCTTACGGACAAACTAATTTACTAATTCCAAAATTGCTCTATAAACACCATATCCCCCATGTTAATGTCTACATCGACGCTTAACTATGATCCCGGATGATGCGCAAGATCGTCGAACGAAGAAGGTACATAGACGCGTACAGAAAGCATCCTTTCTAAGGATAATAAAAAGAAACCGTGTATAATATATAATAGGCCTATCTTGGTAATAACTCGTAGTTATCTTCGGCTACGGTAGATCTTGCCGATAATTTCAAAGACAGCCCGTATGTAGGTATACGCGAATATACGTATATAATATCAAGAGAATATATATATACACACACACATATAACACACATACAGAGCGTAGAATTCTCGACAGTTTGATATCATGTAAGAGAAGGGTGCTTAACCGTGCCGTCTCGTCTCTTCCTCCTCCCCACCTCTTCCACCTTCTCCTCCTTCAGACGTCTAATACACAAAAATTCGAGAAAAAGTTAAAATTAAAGAAAGAGATTGTGATACGAGTGTAACGAAAATATCTCATACTATTGTAAAACTAATTACGGTTACTTAGTTTTTAACAAATGAAAAATAAAAATAAAAATTACTCGATAAAATTCGATATGTTGTATCGTCGCGAAAACGAACGAGCATATTTTATTTTTTAATTCGGGCGTAACAAGTTTGAAACGTCTGAGCAATAGTAACAATCAGAAAATATGACCGTCCGACGACTCAATTCAGGCAGCAAAGAGAGAATTTGATGACGTCGATTATTCGTTTCTTCATTCGGCTTTCCGTTGAGCGATCAAATAAACGACGGTGCTCGTTAACCACTCGGAATGGAAAAAAATTCTAACAGAGAACGAGAAGAGAGAGAAAAATATAGATGGAACAGAAAAGCGGAAGAAAAACTAATTCGATGAGTCTCGTGTCATAATTGGAACGACGTTGATCAAAGTTTCCATTAAATCTGAAATGATATCGACTTTTGATTTTCTTCCTAACGAATCAAACCATCTTTCTCGTCCATTAACTTACATACTTTTTACCAAACGACTTTTTCCCTCTTTTTGCAAAATTAAATAACTAAGTACGAAGAAAAATTTTACTATTTATATATCGGAAGTTTCGCGATTTCATTGTCCGAAATATATCCGTGCCAATTATCCTTCCTAATCAATGAAACACAGAATTGATATCAATTTGATAATATTATTCGATAGGATCGCGCGCTAAAGTTTGTGTGGTCAATCATTTCTAATATGATAAAAAAAAAAGTGTAAAAAAAAAAATAAAGAGGGAGATGATTCGGTACTGCCAACACAACAGCATTATTCCATTCGTTGGAACGTTTAAAGATGTCATTGATTAAATGAGCAGGAAGTGGCAGCAGGGAATATTTTGTGCGCGCGTTTCTCCCTCTCTCACCCACACATGGATCGCGTACGCGTCTTCTTCTGAGTATCTCGGCCTCGCCTCCGTGTGGGCAACGCATTTATGAAGCGCGAATGTATGAATAGGCATGGCCCCTGGTCCCGACGAGAGATCGGCGCAATGGGCGTGGAAGTAAAATAGTGAGAAAGAGTGAGAGAGATAGAAGAACCCTTTTATACAGCACGTTGTGTTGCTTCGTGGCATACCAGATCCATCCAAGAGAGAAGAGAATAATGAAAAGGATAGACGCCTATCAAAGTCACTCGAGCTCAAAGGCTGCATTATACCGTCGAAAGTCAAGATTCAATTGTGCATAGATTATTAATTGATCTATGAGATCTTTACCAAGAGACATGCCTATGTGAAAACTTATTCTATTTCCTTTAAATCCTTTAACAGGGAACGCGCGTTCAACTTAAATTGTTATTTGATTTGATGGATATAATCTATTCGTCGGGACAATCTTTTTATTTTTTTTTTACTTTTTTTTTTTTACACCACGAACAAAGATCAACATTTTACATATATAAGATTGATAAAGGAATGACGCGGATGATTTCTATGCATGACATACGATATATGAAATAGAATGACAATTTGATTAACAGTATTATCCATTCCTCGAGATATATTCATTTTTATTTCCTTTTATTTTATTCTTTTTTTTTTATTCTCGATCAAGTTGAAAGATCTGTATATTATCTTCGCAATTGGTAAAACGCATTATGATAATTATAACGAAATGATCAATTTATATGCAAGATTTGCTTAT